TCTACATAACAAACACTTCACTGCCCAGCTTGAATTATAGCAGTGGAAGATCTCAAGGAGCACTGGGCAGTTCCATCAAGCTAAGATCAGGAAAGTGTTGTTTCCTGTAGTCATCGCTCTTCTAGGAACTTACTCAATACACAGACTTTGACCTCATGCAACAGGTATAACCACTACGTCAATTTATTGAGCGTACTGGCTTATGTTTAACCAGAACCTCATTAAAATATCACATAGGAGAAAAATGGATGTTGGGGAAAAGCATTTGACACTAATATAACTCATATGTGCAGGAAGCATATTAGTGCTGTGCCATTAACTTAAATTAAACAGAAGAAAGCTGCTTGTAAAATACTATCATACCATTAAGCGAAAATGCTACTGCGGTCATGTGACACCGATGACTCATTTTATCATTCTTTGCGGTAGCATTATGATAACATTGTTTGCCATCTCATTTTCCTCTTTCATCAGGAAATGACAGAAGCAGCACAACCGGCCCCAAAAAAATTCATGAGAAGTACAGGGAAGCGCTCTGTGATTTGATCTAGGACAACATTGACAAAACACACCGGCTCCTCTGAGCAAACTTAGCCAAGATGTTTCTCTTTCTGTTTTTGTTTGAATGCCAAGCGGCTGTCAAAATGCTGAATATACCCTTGTGGTTACCTTAACAAGGCTATGAATGTCGGCTGACGGCCACAGTGTTTTGCTCTCTCCCTCGCACCTCGGGCTTCCATGAGATGAGACGTCTCTCCTCTTAAGACCTCCTTTCTTGTGGGAGAACGACAGTTATCTCCTCAGAGGCTGAAACGCCGCCCCCAAACGTGTGGTTTTCCGTCAGTTTTGCTTTTGTTAAACATCTTTGTATTCCCTGCTCGCTTGCTGTCTCAGCAGTCATCTCCTCTGTGATGCTCGAGCTATGAGTTGTATCCTTTGTGCCATTTTTGCAGCCTATGCGTTGTGCCTGTTCCACAGTCACCCTACAGCTCTGCATTGGTAAACTGATCTCCTGTTATTCCAGTGCTGCCTGATTGCACTCTGTGCCGTAGCTTTAGTTCTGGGCGATCCCAATTTTAGACAAAAGTTGTCGTAGTTGTAGCATACTTTATGCTCACTGCTGCTACTAACATGATCATTTTCACCTGAAGATACAGAATTATTGACCAATTTTCCAAAACTCAGTCCGTTTTGTGTTGTTTTTGAGATGAAACTGCCAGTGACCTAAAATCAGGCTTCCTCATCATATGTTACAGAATTGTGAACCAAAACTCACTCAGTCCTCATGTGAAGCAACAAAAAAACTGTCCTCGAAAACATATGCTGTGGACTGAGTTTTGAAAATTTGCTCTTAAATTTTCTGTGGCTTTTTTTGTTTTATAAAATATTCTATATTCAACAAACACCTTTTGCAGTGAGTAACAGATTCCACAGCCATGGGTTGCATCGGTCACAGTGAGAATTGGCACGCTGCTGTAATGCAGCGAAGGAGCCAACTGGGAAATGGGGAAACACCCTGCAAAACTCTGCAAGGCTGCAGCGAAGGAGCCACCTGGGAAATGGGGAAACACCCTGCAAAACTCTGCAAGGCTGCAGCGAAGGAGCCACCTGGGAAATGGGGAAACACCCTGCAATGGGGAGCAGGGGTCTGTGCTTCCTGGGACGCAACCTCCATTTGTGTCCCTGCCATCATCCTGCGGATCTGCCCCTGTTCTCTGTGCTGTTGTCCTAATAACTGGGGGGGGGGGGGGGACCAAAATCCTTTTCATGTCACAAGTACAGCCCCCATCTCAGTGGTCTCAGCCTGTTGCAAGCCTCTGAAAGCCATCAGCAGGATGCATCAGCAAATACTGTATATCGACCAAAGCATGCTTTAGTCAAAACACATTTGTCTGCTCCAGAGTCCATTAATCATTCCCAGGCTGCTGTAACAGGAAATCTGATTGAATGACTGGAAAGTCAATAGCCTCTCAAACCCCCCCCCCCCACCACCTTTTTTTCCTCTTCTGAGGTGTGATAACAGTGGGTGGTTTCCAACAAAACTTCCATCAAGCACATTACATTAAGCCGCCTAGTTTTTTTCCATGCAGCAACGTCTGTCAGGCTGGAGCATTCAGGAATGAATCGGGACAATTTATGGATATGAAGCCTGTAAACATGCATTCAGTCAGGAGAAAAATTTCAGCCAGTAAGATCCTCTTAGCATTGATATGTGCAGTTTGACACTAGCATCTTGCACAACATGTTTTATATTTTCCGTTTCAATGTTTTATTGGCTCAGTGGCTCAGTGGGCAGCATTATTGCCTCACACCTCCAGGAATTGTGGTTCTAACGTCCTGCTCTGTCTGTGTAGAGGTTGCATGTTCTGCCAGTATCACTCGGGCTTCCTCCTGAAGACCAAAGGCATGTTGGCTGAGTGTATTGGTGTCTCTCTGTTTTCGATTGTGTATTTGTATGCCGTGTTCTCATTCCGGCATCTGTCATGGCATGGCATGGTGTGGGCAGGAATGAAGGTCGATCCACTGGCACCTTCGAGACATAAAGGAGTTTATTAAAGAAACCGAACACACTGGGGAAAATTACAAAACAAAAGAACCACAAGGGGTCAGAACTAAACAGGGTTAAACACTTCTAAGGGAACCGGGTAACACAGGGAACAGAACTTGGGAACACAGTACAGCACCTAATGCAGTGACTAAGTAAAGAACTGAACAAATGCAGGAACTTAAATACATAGCAAAAGCCAGGGCAAACAAAGGTGTAAAACATTATCTAATCAACCAATCAAGGAGGGTACAGGAACAATGAGCAACAGATGAAACTACTAACATTAACAAGCACACAGAAATTGAGAAAAAAACTGAAGCAAAACTGAAAACTAAGAAACAAAGCAAACACTAGGATAACAATACTAGGAAAGACTATAACCATCAGAATACACATGAATAATAAACACAGCACACACAGGATAAACCAAAACAGGCGAACACGACTGTACAATAAGAAGACAAGATAGAAAATATCAAACACTAGGGAACAGAAAACTATCAGATACAAATAACTCAGGAGGCTGGACAGCCTCAAACCCATGACCTGAAGGTTATAGCCTCTGTGCCACACACTCAACCCACTGAGCTATGCAGCAGTTCAGAGAAAAAGAAGCATATAAGGGTTTTCAGAAAGGGGGTGAAAAGGCGGGATGGCCAGTGACACCTACTGGCCAAAACTGCTCACCCTGCTGCCTGTGACGTCTCTCCTGTATGCTCTACTGCTGTGCCACTGTTCATCGTGCCATCAGCAGCAGCATCAGCACCTGTCTGTCATCACCTGCCTGTCGCCTGTTTTGAAACTCAAATGTTAAAATTGGGACAATGTGAACTAGGACTTTGCCATCTTGTTCATTTGACTTCCACTGTTGCGCCCTAGAGGATGGGCTCCCCCTTTGAGTCTGGTTCCTCCTAAGGTTTCTTCTCTCTAGGGAGTTTTTCCTTGCCACTGTCACATCTGGCTTACTCACTGGGGGCTTTGAATTGGTTTGAATTGAATTGAATTGAATTGAATTTTACCCAAAGCAAAACTTGTACACAACAAAAAATGACGACATGAGCCACCATATGCCTTTTTAGCATCTGCTGTCTCCTACTATTCACAAGCCCTCGGGGAGCCGTTTTCCTCACATTGCCTGAACCAGCTTTTACTGAGCAGGACTGCCAAGGGACTCCAAAGAGTGTTTCTTGAAGCTTTTAAAGCAACAACCACTCTGCAGGCTGTGTGGGGCAGAGAAGTGGCCCCCACCCTTCGCATCAGAGAAACCCATCTCTTGCACACCTCCTCCTTGGTCTGTTTGAAACGGACATGACGACCGCCGCTCCCCGTCTTGGTGAGAGCAGACATGACGACCGCCGCTCCCAGTCATGATGAGAGTGGACATGACGACCGCCACTCCCAGTCTTGATGAGAGAGGACATGTCGACCGCTGCTCTCAGTCATGGTGAGAGCGGACATGACGACCGCCACTCCCACTGAGGTCGCCGACAGTGTCACTGGGTACACCAATAAATTAAAATGACAAAAGTGTCCTAATGCCTTCATTATGAGCAATGGGGCATATATACATATCCTCAGCGGAGCCCAGCTCACCTGCCGCAATGAGACCATCCTCAGCGGAGCCCAGCTCACCTGCCGCAATGAGACCATCCTCAGCGGAGCCCAGCTCACCTGCCGCAATGAGTCCATC